CAAAGACATCTCTAGAAAATGCCTTCAGCTTGAGATCACTCAAAATCTGTCCGTAATCGAAATACTGAAACCCCAAATTCGGACCTTGAATTTGAGCACTCTGAGAGCTGGTTTCCACCAACAGTTGCAAAATGGCATCAGGGTCCTCAAAGCAAGAACCACCCGAAGCGGAGCACAATAGGAATGTTCCGAAGGGCTTGTAATCACTCGCTTGCGAAGCGGTTAGGAAGGCTTTAGGTACAGGATCATTGATAGAGGCTACATTCAAGAAGCAAGAACTCCATGTTGAGAATTGCAACACACATTGTCGGAGTTGTTCGTTACCGGTCAAGGGTGAACCGAAAGTGATGCAAAGGGGACGCTTCGCTTTCGACAAGTTGAGGCTTTGTAGCAGCCATAAGGTGAAAAGGATAGCCACACAACCTCCAAAAGAATGTCCAGTGATAAGTATCGATGAGTTGGAATTGCTGCTTTCTACCAGTTGAAATATTACATTAAGTTAGTCAATTACTGAACCGCTATATAATTAATTCGGAGACATCTGTACAAATAAGTTCCCCAAAGTACATTCGTGGTGAAAAAATAAACATTCAACTCCATTTTGAACAACAACAAAACAAAATAGAATCGACTTTACAACATTCGGTTCTTATAACACTAATAATGAGGTGTTTGTAAGTGTTTCTCGCTAATATTAAGAGTTGTCAAAAAAGCCAAACTAATTAAGTAGAAAGTAATCTAACATTATAAATATAATTTATAACTGTTTCTTGTTAGACTACGTGTGAATGACAATGAGATAACAACTAGATTTCTTGAATTACACGTAAACTCATTATGCGAGTTGTGTGGTTGAAGAAATTTGAGATCCTTGATATAATAGGAGTTGTGGAGTTTAATTATTGTGCATCCAATCTAAAAGGAGTACTTATCAAGTATTTATTGAGAGATAAGAATCACGATGAGACTTGAATTTGTTATGAGGATAGAGTTTATCACTACTACTGATAATAGGCCGGTATTAGTGGAACTCTGATAGGATAATTTGGTATATATATATACATATTGAAGAAGTCCCTGCTTCCACACAATAAGACTCTCGAGAACTAAACCCTATTTACTAGTAGAGGTCATCGCTGTGTGCTGGAAGTAGAAGACTGATTCACTTGTTCATTCAATGGCAACAACATCAGGTAAGTCGCTTTGGCAGATTGCATATAGGGTTATGTACTAAGGTTGTTCGTGGATGCAATCCTATCACTACGTTGATTATGTTGATGGCTTGCGTGTGCATATTAATTCTTACATTTCTCACTAAAATTAATAATTGTCAAAGCGAAGAAAAAGTTTGATTCAGTAGGAGAAGTGTAGACAAAAATTGGAAAAATAAAATAAAATTATTTGATTTGTCCTTTCTTCCGTCTTTATGTCTATTTTTAAGTAGGCAATGAATGAACAAGTTCTTATATAAGGATTTCTCGTAAGCGAAGAAACTTCTTTTTTAAATATTATCAGAGAAAACAGTACACACCTTTGTTCGCAGAAGATCGAGGTTGGTGTGATTCAAGGCGAAGAATTTGATTGCCAATTCATTGACGGAGAAACTTGGTGTTTTTTTGCTGCACAAAAACTCGAAGAGGAGAAAATTTGTGTCCTTGAGAGTCGTCGATGAAATCATCGCTTGTGGATCTTGAACCTTGACTGGTGAAGTAAGAAAAGATATGATGGTGGTGTTTGAGTGCTTCGTTTCACTAATGCACAAGGCCATTTGTGCATTCGGATCATCAGCTGTCTGGAGCTTTTGCTTCCGAACCGCGTCCCATGACTGGTGCAGGGGAGGAGAAGTCACCAGCACATTTGCTAGTTCAAGCCCCGCACTGCTAATTCTGTCCATCACCAACAAAAAAAAATGAAGCAAAGTTAAATGGAGGGAATGCTTTTGAAATAGTTAAAAATGTCAGTGGAACAATCAAAAGTACTTTTTTTTTTTTTTTTTTTTTTATATTTTCAATATTTGATAAATACTAGAGTACTCCAGAATTGAAATTCAATTCTGCTTTTTTATTTCGTCTATCCTTACGTAAACATGTCATAAAAGTGTGTATGAATCATAAAAGCAATTTCTATAAAATTTCATTGTGCTTCTAATAAGGTCAGTTTAGCAAAAGACTTGTAAGAATGAAATTCCACTTTGTTAAAGCATATGAACATTTATTAAATATTGCCTCCGCGAGAAACTCTACTCATAAGCACTTATATTTTACCTTACTCATAAGCATTTTTCTTTTACTTTACTCAAAGTGTTTCTCAACAAAGCACTTGGAAACTTGGAAATGCTTCTTAAAGCTGCACATAGCGCATATGCTTCTTTTTTTTTTTTTTTGAAGAACACGCATATGCTTCTTTTAAAAAAGCTTCTACTATCTAGACGTGCTTCGTAAGTTTTTTCCCCAAAATTAACCCTAAGAAGTTTCATGCAAAACACTTATAGCCATTCCAGAAGCCGTTCTAGACATGATCCGCTTAATCACGACAATCGACACACATGGATAAAGTGGAAATTTGTCAAACTACATTGAGTAGAATCATACTTAGGTCTAATAAACGAGCAATACTTAGCTTTTTAAAGATGAGTATTCTTAAAGATGAGTAGAAACTCCTATTCAAAATTTCTCAAAATTATTTGTTATCAATTTATAGAAGCTCGTGTTTATAATCAGAACCGTTCATATTATAAATCCCCCTACACAGATTGCCTCTGCAAAAAATAAATTAAAACTAAAGTCGTTTAGTCATCAAATTGTGTAAAAACAAATGAACGGTATTGGTAAAAGCATTACGAACCGTTTATGCATTTGCTACAATAAATTGATTAAACGACCTTAATTTTAATTTATTTTTTACAAAGATGATCTTTACAGTGTGATTTATAGTATGAACGGTTATGATCATAAGTACAAAGCTCTATGATTAAAACACTAAGAGTTTTGTATAGGAATTTCTACTCAACTTTAAGTAACCAAGTATTATCCTAATAAACCATAAGATAAATCAATGACAAAGGATTCAAAGAAAAACAAGGATCGGGAGAGTTTGAAATTAACTTACTGGTTGTTCATCTTCAAGCTTTTGGCGATCTGCTTAAAACACTGTAGTTTGAAAGATCTGGAAAACAGGATGGCCAGTGTCCTTTATATAGAAGAGGAAACAGTTCTAAAGCTATTATTATTCTCATGGGCCCCCCGAGGGAATTTCCCAACAAGTAAACAAGGGATTTTTCATTGTGTTCTCCAAGTCGACAATGCACGGGAAAGTCTACGTCGTCGTCAACGGATCTTGTCCCTAAAGGTATCGTTTGGTATGCAGATGGGACGGGACGGGACGGGACATGACGGAACGGAGCGGGAGCAAAGATGCCCTCGGATGGAAACAAGGAGGAAGAAGAAGGAGACGAAGAGGTTATAATTTTGTGTTCCACAGATGTGGAACGAGTCGTTCCAGGAGGGTGAGGTGGAACGAAAATTCACTCAAAACTCGTCCCGTGGAACAGGTCGTTCCACCCGTTTTAGGCGCACCAAACGTGGGACGGAACGCCTTGTCCCACTCTATTCCGTCCCGTCCCACGTACCAAACGGTACCATAAGGTTCCCGGAGGAAGGAGGGATGGACCTTTCCCTCGATGCTTTGCCTCTGGTCCTCTTATGTATGTTTACGGGTTAAAGTTCAAATAATTATTTATTCCCGGTTGCTTCCAGCTTATTCATCCGTAACAAAAATTCCAGAGTAATTTAATACATGATTTGATTTTAGCAACTAAACATTCGCGGAAGAATACAAAGAAATTTACAAAGAAATCTAACGAGTTAATCTGAGGGATAGGGAATGGCCTTGAACTTTTTGTTAATAACTCGTTAATATAACGAGTAACTCAACCTCTTATAAGTCCATGCCAAGTTCTTTCTTCTATCAATGTGGGACTCATTCTCAACATGCCTCCTCACGTGTAGCGAATTTTCGAGCCTAACACATGAACAATACAACGGAGTGACATGGAGCACATGTGGCCGTTTGGCTTCACATGTGGGACAATCTGGCTTTAATACCATGATTCATGAAGAAAGTTGAGGTTCCACTATAAAATTAATTGACAATATGAGAAGTAACTCAACCTCTTATAAGTTTTTCTCGTAGCTTGTTTACACCATTTCGTGTTTTTTTTTTTTTTGGAACTAATTTCAATTTTCAAGAAATAAGAATTGAAACTATAATTTAAAAACTATAGTCTATATAGTAGTCAAACGAATCTTAATTCTCCTTTTTATTTTCCTTTTTTTACCTCTTGCACTCCCTTTCTAATTTTTTGTCTCTTAATTTTCTTTCGATCATTTAATCGATTAAACCAGAAGGAAAATATAATGGATAGTCCATAAAGTCGAACGGGAAGTTGAGAAATAAAGACCGGAAAACATATATTTTTTATTGGGCAGTTAAACTTAAAATGAAAATGGCCCTTTGCCCTTTGAGCAGAAAGTACGAAAGCACATTTACAGTAGGACCGGAAGATCAAAAGTGGAAAACTGTCGGAACCAAAACAAAAGGGTTTGTTGAAAATTACAGAGATTAATTGTACAGATGAGAAACGGATGCGATGAGAACTGCATTTTTGCATGTGCATGTGCATGCCGGTCCCATCTAAGCTGGGTTTTGTTCCCATGTTTAGTTATTTTCCAAATATTTGGCAGTGATGGCAATGTCTATTTAAATCGGAAAGGGATTCTCTTCGAATCCCTTCCACCAAATCTACCAAATCAATCAATACAGACTCTTGAAATTTGATCTAATGGCTAAAGTTATTATAACTTTTAAAAGACCCTCTGTTTTTAGTCGTTGGATCAAATTTCAAAGATCCGGATTGATTGATTGGGTAGATTTGATGGAAGAGAGCTAGAGCCCACACATTATTTTTTCTTTGTACAAGAGAGCTAGAGCCCAAAACAAAATGAAACCACAAACAAAAATATTAGAAAGTAGTAGCACCAACAAGCCCTGCAAGTACCGCATATCCTTCTCTATGAAGATCATGAGCAATACAACATAAACTAATCTTGCTTTATCTGATTTAATTACTTGCTTAAAACTTAATTATCTTGGATTATATATCAGCAAGAACCGAGACGCCCTCCGCATACTTGGTATAAGTGTGACGCTTCATGACCTCGGCGAGTGGTGAGGAATAGTCATTTCCCACCCTTTTTTCGTACTCGTTCCACCATTGCATGTAGCTGCTTTGGGCCAAGAAAATATCAGGCGTCACTGCAAACTTCTCGAGATTATTCAGCACGTACTGCTCAAATTCGATCAGCATTTGCTTGGCATTTGGATTACTCGCTTGTTCATTGCATAAGATATGCGCTTCCTCGACATGCACCCAAAAACAAGAATCATCATTCAGACTTGAAGCCACATTCTTCGCTTTTGAGTTCGATTTGGTTTCGCTACGCAGTTGGGGGTTCTCCCTTTCTTTCTGCTCTCTCTCTGCCTTCTTCTTTTCCACGTCTTCATTGAACCATTGCTCCAACAGAACGAAATGCCGAGGCCTTTCCTTTATGTAATCTTTTCCACCTTCCTTGTAGTACTCTGCAATGTGAAGCGGTTCGATCATCCTTCTGTAATTCGTTCCACCAAATAGGAAACGAGTACGCATTGCGGCTCCTTCTTTCTGGGGATTGCTCTCAACTTCTGCAACCGTGTCCTCCCAGTAATTCGAGAGCTTCTTCTTGTACTCTTCGGCATTAATGTCACCCGAGCAACGCTTGTTTCTGTACCTGTCATAGTATCCAATTCCCATCTCTTTGGACTCTTTCTTGTACCCTTCCATGTAGACCATGTACTTTTTAATCTCATTCAATTTCCAGAAAGAACTGTAAACCTGCGTCTTCTCAATCGCATAGTTACGTTCTTGAGTTTCCATCTTTTGCATCAGGTTGCCGAAATTTATGTCGGGTTGTTGCTGCTGCAATGACTTTTACAAAATGATTTGCGAAAAGAGTTAGTAGAAGTAAAAAAAAAAAAAAAAAAAAAAAAATATATATATATATATATATATATATATAGTTCGAAAAAAACATGGGATGTGATTGCCCCCGGCACACCCGTGCTTATTTCCAATATTCGGATTAAATAAAGTAAAAGAAAATCAAGAGACAAAAATAAACAGGTTTGTGCAGAAACCATTCTCTGAATCATCATCAAATCAAACATTTGTGTGGAAAGTTGGATACCTGTGAGCTATTAACTCCAAATATTGCTGCCAGTTGTGTTTTAATTCCAGCTTTAAGTGGAACTGTATCCTCTTCAACCAACTCAAAGACATCTCTAGAAAATGCCTTCAGCTTGAGATCACTCAAAAGCTGTCCGTAATCGAAATACTGAAACCCCAAATTCGGACCTTGAATTTGAGCACTCTGAGAGCTGGTTTCCACCAACAGTTGCAAAATGGCATCAGGGTCCTCAAAGCAAGAACCACCCGATGCGGAGCACAATAGGAATGTTCCGAAAGGCTTGTAATCACTCGCTTGCGAAGCGGTTAGGAAGGCTTTAGGTACAGGATCGTTGATAGAGGCTACATTCAAGAAGCAAGAACTCCATGTTGAGAATTGCAACACACATTGTCGGAGTTGTTCGTCACCGGTCAAGGGTGAACCGAAAGTGATGCAAAGGGGACGCTTCGCTTTCGACAAGTTGAGGCTTTGTAGCAGCCATAAGGTGAAAAGGCTAGCTACACAGCCTCCAAAAGAATGTCCAGTGAGAAGTATCGATGAGTTGGAATTGCTGCTTTCTACCAGCTGAAATATTACATTAAGTTAGTCAATTACTGAACTGCTGTATAATTAATTCGGAGACGTCTTTACAAATAAGTTCCTCAAAATACATTCGTGGTAAAAAAAAAAACCATTCAACTCCATTTTGAACGACAACAAAACAAAATAGAATCGACTTTACAACATTCGGCTCTTATTGACAAGGTTTGCTATGTGCTTATATGGTCTTGAGTTACTCCTCATATCGCCAATTGATTTTATGGTGTAACCACAATTTCATCGTGGTATCAGAGCAAGTTGTCCACGTGTGAAGCCCAATGGCCACACGCGCTCCACGTTATCTAGTTGTTGTTCACGTGTAGGCTTGAAAATCTGACAAATGCGGGAGCGTGTTGAGAGTTGTCCCACATCGGTAAGGCACAAGGTTTGCTATGTGCTTATATGGTATTGAGTTACACCTCATATCGCCAATTGGTTTATGATGGAACCTTAAATTTCATCACTTATAACACTAATAATGAGGTCTTTGTAAGTGTTTCTCGTTAATATTAAGAGTTGCCAAAGAAGCCAAACTAATTAAGTAGAAAGTAATCTAACATTATAAATATCATTTTTAACCGTTTCTCGCTAAAATTAATAGTGTCAAAGTGATGAAAAAGTTTAATTCAGTAGAAAAAGAAAAGGCAAAAATTGGAAAGAAAAAAAAAATTTATTTGATTCGTCCTTTCTTCTGTCTCTATGTCTATTTTTAACTAGGCAATGAATGAACAAGTTCTTATATAAGAATTTCTCAAAAGCGAAGAAACTTCTTTTTTAAATATTATCAAAGATAACAGTGCACACCTTTGTTCGCAGAAGATCGAGGTTGGTGTGATTCAAGGCGAAGAATTTGATTGCCAATTCATTGACGGAGAAACTTGGTGTTTTTTTGCTGCACAAAAACTCGAAGAGGAGAAAATTTGTGTCCTTGAGAGTCGTCGATGAAATCATCGCTTGTGGATCTTGAACCTTAACTGGTGAAGTAAGAAAAGATATGATGGTGGTGTTTGAGTGCTTCGTTTCACTAATGTACAAGGCCATTTGTGCATTCGGATCATCAGCTGTCTGGGGCTTTTGCTTCCGAACCGCGTCCCATGACTGGTGCAGGGGAGGAGAAGTCACCAGCACATTTGCTAGTTCAAGCCCCGCACTGCTAATTCTGTCCATCACCAACAAAAAATTGAAGCAAAGTTAATTGGAGGGAATGCTTTTGAAATAGTTAAAAATGTCAGTAGAACAATCAAAAATGTCGGCGGAATTTAATTTCCATCAGGTTGTAGAGAACCGAATTTCTCCAAATTTTGGAATTGGATTACAAAATCTGTGTCCGAACAATTTTTTTATTATCAATATTTGATAAATACTGGAATACTCCGTAATTAAAATTCAATTCCGCTTTTTCATTTTGATTAGCCTTATGTAAACATGTCATAAAAGTGTGCGAATCATAAAAGCATTTTTCATAAAATTTCATCGTGCTTCTAATAAGGTCAGTTTAACAATAGACTTGTAAGAATGAAATTCCACTTTGTTAAACCATACGAACATATATTAAATATTGCCTCCGCGAGAAACTTTACTCATAAGCACTTATCTTTTACTTTACTCATAAGCATTTTTCTTTTACTTTACTCATAAGCAATTGTCTTTTACTTTGCTCATACGCATTTTTCTTTTACTTTACTCATAAGCACTTGTCTTTTACTTTACTCATACGCATTTTTCTTTTACTTTACTCAAGTGTTTCTCAATTAAGCACTTGGAAACTTGGAAATGCTTCTTAAAGCTGCACATAGTGCATATGCTTCTTAAGAACAGCTTCTACTAGACGCGCTTTGTAAATATTTTCCCCAAAATTAACCCTAAGAAGTTTCATGCAAAACACTTCAATTTATAAAAGTTCGTGTTTATAATCAAAACCGTTCATATTATAAATCATCTCATATATATTGTCTATGCAAAAAATAAATTAAAATTAAGGTTGTTTAGTCATCAAACTGTTTAAAAACAAATGAATAGTATTGGTAAAAACATTACGAACCATTAATGTATTTGCTACAATAGATTGACTAAACGACCATAGTTTTAGTTTATTTTTTACAAATATAATCGTTACTTTGTGATTCATAGTATGAACGGTTATGATCATAAGTACAAAACTCTATGATTAAAACACAATTTTGTGTTGAAGTTTCTACTCATTTTTAAGTAGCCAAATATTATCCTAATAAACTATAAGAAAAATCAATGACAAGGGATTCAAAGAAAAACAAGGATCGGAAGAGTTTGAAATTAACTTACTGGTTGTTCATCTTCAAGCTTTTGGCGATCTGCTTAAAACACTGTAGACTGAAAGATTTGGAAAACAGGATGGTCAGTGTCCTTTATATAGAAGAGGAAACAGTTCTAATGCTATTATTATTCTTATGGACCTCATTGTCCACACCAACCAAAGGGCACCACGAGGGAATTTCCCAACAAGTAAACAAGGGATTTTTCATTGTGTTCTCCAAGTCGACAATGCACAGGAAAGTCTACGTCGTCGTCAACGGATCTTGTTCCTATAAGGTTCCCCGAGGAGGGAGGGCTGGACCTTTGCCTCGATGCTTTGCCTCTGGTCCTGTTATCTACGTTTACGTGTTAAAGTTCAGATAATTATTTATTCCCGGTTGCTTCCAGCTTATTCATCCGTACGAAAATTCCAGAGTAACTTAATACATGATTTGATTTTAGCAACTAAACATTCGCGGAAGAATACAAAGAAATTTACAGAGAAATCTAAGTCTAACGAGTTAATCTGAGGGATTCGGAATGGCCGTTGAGCTTTCTGTTTTTTTGTCTGAATTCACCTACTAGCAATACAATATGGTCAACGCAGCCTTACCGATGGACTTTCGTCCCCATGTTCATCGGGTCAGGCTCCGTTGCCGACCGAATTCCGTCACCTTAAATGTTTCGCGATGAACTCGTTGGAAACTGACTAAACTTTAAACGTTCATAATTTTTTCGATACTCAACGAAATCGAATGATTCAAAAACGAAAATCATACTTCTCGATGAGACCAAAAAAAATGGTACATTTCTCAACGGCTAAATCGTCATGGTTTGGCCGGAAAATGGCTCGAAAGCCGCGGAGGTCGCCGGAAAATGGGTAAACTTTAAAATGTTATAACTTCCTCATTTCTTAGTCAAATTGGACCTATAATATGTCAAAACGAAGCTTAAGACGAGAGGAATAAGATTATACCTATTTGTAAGCCAAAAGGTGGCCGAAGATGGCCGGAAAATGCCTGCAAACTCACGGGTCTCGCTGGAAAACTGGGGAAGAGTCCCTCGCCGTTTCTGGGTTCGTGGGGTTCAAATAGAGGGTGAGGGATGGTGGTGTGCTGCAGCTGCTGCTGCTGCTGTTGTTGTGTTTGTGTGCTTTCCTGATGAGAGGAAAGAGAGAAGAGAGTGAAGTGAGGGAAGGAGAGTGGTGGGGATAAGGAAGAGAGAGAGAGAGAGCCGGAGACAAGGGGAAACATGTGGACCTAAGTAGCTCACAAAACAAGGTTCAATAAAGACAAAATAACAAATATCTCCTGAAAATTGAGGAATCTACTAATTTCTTTCGGTTAATCACTATATGATCAAAATAAAATGTCTTGTAATTAAAATATCAAAAAAATATCAAAATTCAATTAAAATAATCAATAAATTTATATCTACTAAAGCTCAGTTGGCCTTCATCATGTTAGAAGGGCGACAGTTCACCAGCAGTGAACTTCCCAAGCTGCCCTCCATTCCTTCCTTGCCGGGCCCCTTTTCCCTCTCTGCTGTAGAAAAGTGACCCCCTTACTCTTATTGTAACCCTTCTTTTCTTCGGGATTCTTTCGCTCTTTGGCCACGTGTTGATCATCTGGGTATCTTTTTTTCCATTCTGACTCTCTCTTCAATTCCAACGTTTTATCCTTACCTAATCCACCGCTGGCAGCAATGGTACATGCCTTTCCACCAAAAATTAATTAAAAAACCTTGCCTCATCACACCTGGCAGCTATGATGCATGCCTTACCACCAAAAAATAATTAAAAAAACAAAAATCCGGAACATGCACAGAAAAGCTGAGAATGGATACTGAGTGAGATAGGACGGATTTAGATCCTCTCCTGAGCCCAAGGAGAGAATCCTCCTCACTAAATGACTTGAACCGTTAGATAAAAATTTAACGATTATAATTATTATAATTTTAAAAAAACCATCTTATTTGTAGTCGTTAAATTTTATCCAACAACCCAAGTCATTTAATAAAAAAATTCTATTCTTGGGTTCAGGAGAGAATCCCAATTAACACCCCAACACTCAGTTTCCTGCACTGCAATTTCAGTCACAGACCTCTATGCAATTACACCATGTTTCTTTGCAAGACCCAGTCGCAGAAGCAGCACAGCACTAAGCTCCAGATATTGAAAATATTCAGAGCTGCTGTGGAAAGATTTTTCCTTTTTTTATTTCAATAAAAAAAATTATTTAAAAATTTGCCTAAATTCATCAAAATCTACAAATTAAATCTATTTAAATTTTTTAAAATCTATATGAATTTTGTAGGAGTCTTAAATTCTTTTAAATTCTATCAAATTTATCATTTTTAAAATCTTTTAAAATCCTTTAAAATCTTAGTTTGACTACACCTCTTTTAAATTAGTGGCAAAGCAACATTGTTTTATATTTTGGTCGAAAGAAGCAAAGCAACTTGTTTGAATCATTTTCTCTCATGTTTGTGTCTATAAGCCTCCCCCTCCCCCCCCCAAAATCCAATCCACCCTCTTATCAATTGCGTTGAAAGAAATGAAAGATTATGCCTTGGTCCAGTTACTTTTTTAATTCGATCTTTTTATGTAGACACTGGGACTGGGTGGCAAGAAAAAGTTGGAAAGGCAGCATAATTGGAAAATTGGGTTATCACGATCACCCCCTTAACAGAGGAGTCTGCATTTGACGTTACTTTCAACTAGGGTAAGGCGATTGGAGTCCCGATAGCATTCATAATTAGAAATGAGCATCATAGTGAGTTATACTCAAAGTCCACTTTGTTGTAATTCATGGGTCTACCTTGCTAAGTACAAAAAAGACAGTGTTTTCTTTGCTAACAAGGTAAGCAAGTTATGGAATGAAAGCATGCTGCTCAAACTTCAAATCCAATTTAAGAATCACTCAAAATTTCTCTGCAACAACATACTCATTTAGCTGTATCTCATGCTAAAATACTAACAAGGATCATTTCAACGTCGACCTTCGCCATTGACGTATACCTTGCGACCTCATCATCATGTACTTAAGGTATAGATTTAACTCTGAATCTCCCTTGCAAACTGTTTACAGTTTTTCATATGGGTTTTTGGGAATTACAGGAAATTTGGTCTTCGTAAGATTTAATTGTTGTTAATTTTACGGTTTAATTGTTTTCCACAAATATGATTGAATGATAAGTTAGTTGTATATATATTCAAAACAAAAAACTCTAAATCTATCGCTCTCGAACTTGCCTCACCCACAAATTTGGCTTTGACCGTTATTTCTCCTCCTTGGCTTCTGTTTTCGTCTCTGACCCATTCAGCTTGAGCAAGCAGTCCACGCTGGCTTTCTTTTACGTCCAAGGATAATTGGTATCAAATATTTGCATTTTCATTGTTTCGTTTTTTTCCTCTGATTTTCTTTTTTATGAAACTTAATGGTTTTGATTTCAATCCTCTTGCAGAAGATTGAGAAACAGAAGGTAAGAGGACTGGATGATCAAGTATTAACTCATTGTAAAAAGCAAAGGTAAACCATGAAAATCTTGAAGTGATATCCCATGACCTACAATTATTTTCTTATCGATTAATTCATTATTGGAAGGCTACTCGGAGTCTCCATCTCTTGGAAGGTAATTTTGGAGTTGTTATTAATTTTTGTGAATTATTTGATCTGCGTTTTGTTTATTTGTGGAGTTGGATAATTATTTATTGAAATTACTGTTGATTTTAGTAATTGATTGATAGGTTTGGTTTCTGGATTCTCTTTCTTTGTTGAATGTTTGATGATTTTAATTTTTTAAATCTGGGTTTTGTTTATTGATTGCAGTGTTGTATTAACTTGCATTTTATTTATTGATTGCAGAGTTGTATTATTTGCGTTTGATTGGAAGGGCTGTAGAGATTTGATTCAAATTGGTGCATTTGCGTAAGAAAGAAACCTAAATCTTTTCTTTCGATTTTAAGAGCTGAATGGACATGCTCTGTTTGAAATACATGTTTAGATTTGCAAAATTTTCTTAACATGCATGCTTCAATGGTAGAATAGAATTGATAGAACATGTACGGTGGCTAGCTTTTCGATCTTCATTTCAGGTTGAACAATTATTTTCTTATATATCTTAATGGTAGAAGAGAACGGACATATACCATCAGCTATAATTTAGGTTCACAAGATTTTCTTATCATCCTTTTGAACGTTTTGCATGAGAATGGATATATAGCAGAATGGATAGTTGTAGTGGACAGTCAACTTTAATAATTCTTAATCCCATTGGCTATATATCTTGTAGAAACACCATTAAATTGTACGCGCGGGCATAAATCTCTAGTTATAACTAAAAATAAGATAAAATAAACAGTATAATATCGACTCATTAGAAGCATCTACATTAACACATACAAATTGATAAAAGAAAGAATCATAAGCAGTTACCAAATATTTAAACTTCACTAGTAGCAATGTGCTGAAAGACTGAAATTAGAGGAGGCCTCATTCTTTTAGTGAAATCGAAATGCAACGAGTGTCATTGCTTTATGAAGTGGAAATTACAACATCATAATTGAAACAATACCCCCCACACATTCTTTTACTTTGAACAAAGAGAGCTAGATGCTAGAGCCCAAAACAAAACGAAACCACAACAAAAATATTCAAAAGTGGTAGCACCAACAAGTCCTACAAGTACTGCACACCTTTCTCGATGAAGATCATGAGCAATACAGCAAAACTAATCTTGCTTTATCTGATTTTAATTGCTTGCTTAAAACTTAATTATCTTGGATTATAGATCAGCAAGAACCGAGACCCCCTCCACATATTTGCGGTAAGTGTTACGCTTCATGACCTCGACGAGCGGTGAGGAATAGTCACTTCCCACCATTTTTTTGTACTCGTTCCACCATTGCATGAAGCTGCTTTGGCCCAAGAAAATATCAGGCGTCACTGCGAAATTCTGGAGTGCATTCAGCACGTAACGCTCAAAGTCAATCAGCTTTTGCTTGGCATTTGGATTACTCGCTTGTTCATTACACAAGATAAGCGCTTCCTCGACGTGCGCCCAAAAACAAGAATCATCATTCAGACTAGAAGCCACAGTCTTTGCCTTTGAGTTGGGCTTGCTTTCGCTGCGCGGTTGGGGGGTCTTCCTTTCTTCCTTCTCTCTCTCTGCCTTCTTCTTTTCCTCGTCTTCATTGAACCATTGCTCCAACAGAACAAAATGTCGAGGCCTTTCCTTTATGTAATCTTTTCCACCTCCCTTGTAGTAGTCTGCAATGTGAAGCGGTTCGATCATCTTTCTGCAAATCGTTCCGCTATATAGAAAAGCAGTACTCATTGTGGCTCCTTCTTTCTGGGGTTTTCTCTCAACTTCTGCAACTTTGTCCTGCCAGTAGATCCAGAGCTTCTTCTTGAACCCTTGGGCATCACTGTCATATGTGTCACCCTTGTTTTTGTAGCTGTCATAGTATCCAATTCCCATGTTTTTGGAATGCGCCTTGTACCATTCCATGTAGGCCATGTACTTTTTAATCTCATTCAATTTCCAGAAAGAACTGTAAACCTGCGTCTTCTGGATTGCATGGTTAAGTTCTTGAGTTTCCATCTTTTGTATCAGATTGCCGAAATTTATGTCGGGTTGTTGCTGCTGCAATGACTTTTACAAAATGAGTTGCGAGAAAAGTTAGTAGAAGTAAAAATATATATAGGATGGAAAAAAAAACATGGGATTTGGACTAAATAAATTTAAAGGGAATCAAAAGACAGAAATTAACAGGTTTGTGCAGAAACCATTTCTCTAAATCTCTTCAAATCAAATGATTGTGTGTGGAAAGTTGGATACCTGTGAGCTGAGAACTCCAAATATTGCTGCCAATTGTGTTTTAATTCCAGCTTTAAGTGGAAATCTATCCTCTTCAACCAACACAAAGACATCTCTAGAAAACGCCTTGAGCTTGAGATCACTCAAAATCTGTCCGTAATCGAAAAACTGAATCCCTGAATTCGGACCTTGAATTTGAGCACTCTGAGAGCTGGTTTCTACCAACAGTTGCAAAATGGCATTAGGGTCCTCAAAGCAAGAACAACCCGAAGCGGAGCACAAGAGGAATGTTCCGAAAGGCTTATAGTCACTCGCTTGCGAAGCGGTTAGGAAGGCTTTAGGTACAGGATCGTTGATAGAGGCTACGTTCAAGAAGCAAGAACTCCATTTTGAGAATTGCAACACGCATTGTCGGAGTTTTTCGTCACCGGTCAAGGGTGAACCGAAAGTGATGCAAAGGGGACGTTTCGCTTTCGACAAGTTGAGGCTTTGTAGCAGCCATAAAGTGATAAGGGTAGCTACACAGCCTCCAAAAGAATGTCCAGTGATAAGTATCAATGAGTTGGAATTGCTGCTTTCTACCAGCTGAATTATTACATAAAAGCTACTTGATTACTGAACCAACCGGAGAAGTCTTTTCAAATAAGTTCCTCAAACTTCATAGTGAAAAACACTTAAAACTCGGTTTTAAAACAAACAAAAAATGGACTCGACTGTTACTGCATTCGGCTCTTGTAACACTATTAATGAGGGTTTTATAAGTGTTTTTCACTAACGTTAACAAATGTCTAAAAAGCCAAACTAATTAAGTGACGAGTAATCTAACATTATAACTTTGATTTTTAATTGTTTCTCACTAATATTAATTGTCGTTAGAGCGGTTTAAACTTTATCAGTTATCATAGAGAATAATACGCACCCTTGTTAGTAGAAGATCGAGGGTGGTGTGATACAAGGCGAAGAAGTTGATTGCCAATCCATTGACGGAGAAACTTGGGGTGTCTTTGTTGCACAAAAACTCAAAGAGAGGAAAATTTGTGTCCTTGAGAGTCGTCGATGAAATCATCGCTTGTTGATCTTGAAGCGTGACGGGTGAAGTAAGAAAAGATATGATGGTGGTGTGCGAGTGCTTGGTTTCACTAATGTATAAGGCCATTTGTGCATTCGGATCAGCAGCTGTGTGGAGCTTTTGCTTCTGAACCGCGTCCCACGACTGGTGCAGGGGAGGAGAAGTCACCGACACATTTGCTAGTTCAAGCCCAGCACTGCTAATTCTGTCATCACCAACAAAAATTGAAGGAAAAGGAGTGTGTAAGAAAAGACCACCCAACCATAATGACAAACATGCTTGGAACTGCTTTTGAAATAGTTGAAAATGTCAATCCAACAACCAAGAGTACTTTTGATTACATTTGGCAGAAAAATTTAATGGCTCGTTTACTAATCAATAATTAGAATAATTAGAATAAGAGGAATTGAATTGAGAAGTTAGAATGGGGTGAAATTAGAATTAGATTCATGTTGAAACTGTTTACTAAAATTTTCAAGAATTGAAACCACGCCTTCACAGTTTTGTTTCTGGGAACTTATGAGAGCAAAACTTCCCAATGGGTCAACCATCCTGAGATTGCTCTCGCGCGAACTCGCTTAACTTCGGAGTTCCTACTAAACCCGAAACCAGTGAGCTCCCAAAATGCATCGTGTTAGGTAGAGATGGGAATATACATATAAGACTTACATGATCCACTCCCCTGGACGATGTGGGATGTTACAATCCACCCCCCCTTAGGGGCCCGACGTCCTTTTCGGCACATATCTGGCCAGGGATTAGCTCTGATACTAAATTGGGGAGTGGATCATGTAAGCCTTATATGTATATTCTCATCTCTACCTAGCACGAGACTTTTGGGAGCTCACTGGCAATGTTAAGCGAGTTCACGCTAGAGCAATCCCAGGATAGGTGACCTACTGGGAAGTTCTGCTCGCGTGAGTTCCCAGAAACAAAACCGTGAGGGCATGGTCGGGGCCTAAAATGGACAATATCGCGTTATGATAAAGTCGAGCTAGGGATGTGGTGGGGGCCCGGACCGAGATGTAACAAAAATTCCTTTATTCTAGTAATATATTTTATATGCTATTTTTTATTGGTTAATACTTTATTTTATTTTATTTTAAACTTTGTGATAAAATATTTAGTTTTTATTTGTTTTTTTTTTTTTCGCTAAGAGAATAAAATTTGGGATAGCGTAAATACGAATGGCAATTTTGAAGTTTCATAAATAAGTGAGGGTATAATGAGAAGGAAAAATTCATTCCAATTCCCCAACAACCTGGAATTCAAATGAGAATCTATTTTGGTTTTCCCAATAACTTGGAATCCAATTCTTCCAAATTTTGGAATTCAATTCCAAAATTTGCATGGGCCGCACCAAACTTTTTTATTCCTTAATATTTGATAAACACAATAATATTTTGTAGGCGAAATTCAATTCTGCCTTTTTATTTCAATTATTCTTACGCAAGCATGCCATAAAAGTGTATACATGGATGTTCTAGAAATATTTCTTTGTGCTTGTAATAAGGTCATTTTAGAAAAACACATGTAAGAATGAAGTTTCATACTTTGTTAAACTCTAGGAACAATTGTTAAATTATTGCTTATGTGAGAAATACTTCACTCATAAGCACTTCTTTTTTACTGCAAACCTAGAGAAATGTTTATAAAATATTCAAGTGCTTCTCGAAAAGTTGGAAATGCTTCTTAAAGCTGCACATAGCATATGCTTCTCCAAAAAGAGCTTCTACTATCTAGAAAAGTTTAATAAGTTTTTCTTCTAAAATTAACCACAAAAACTTTCAATTGTTTGAAAACACTTTCAATCATTCCAGAAGTCGTTCTAAAAATGTCTGCTTAATCACGACAATCAACACTACATGGATCGAAGTGGAATTTCACCAAACTACATTGAGCAAAATCGTATGATTCGTTTGGAACTGTTTTTAAAATGATTAAAATCGTTTTTTTTGTGAAAATATTTTTGGAACTAATATTTAGTAAAAATACAAATGAATCTTGAAAAAACACTTGAAGTGCTTCCTACAAGAAGCACTTTAAATGCTTTTAGAACTCATAAATATTTTCTCTAAAAGTGTTTTAAGTCATATTAAAAATCTTTCCAAATGAGCATGTACTTTGATCTAACTAAACATCAGAAAAATCAATGACAAGGGATTAAAAAAATAAAAAAAAAGGCCAGGATCGGAGGAGTTTGAAGTTGACTTACACGTTGTTCATCTTCGAGCTTTAGCCGATCTGCTTAAAGAATACAGTAGATTGAGAGATTTGGAAACCAAGTGGTTCACGTCTTTCTTTATATAGACGAGGAATCAAAACTCTCTTATTACGCTTGTGTGAACAATCTCATTTCATTTGATTTTTTGTTTTCAATTAAGGAGTGTGATTAGTCAATGAAGGGGCAGTTTCTTCGAAAGCGGACATATTATTTTTCCCCTTTTTATTTATCTTTAGTTTTTCAATAGGGTATGCTATGTTTACATTATTGTTGTGAGATTGATGTAAAAAACAGTAAAATTCATATTTATGTAATTACTAAATTTTCCCTATTTTTTCATTTTTGTTCAGCTTTAACGAGAGAGTTAGAATAATAATTTTATGAAATTATTATGGACGACGTTGTTCCACCAATTAAAATGGCCCAACGAGGAAACTTCCCGCCAAGTCATGCACCGGAAAGTCTTGGTCGTCGTCGTTTTTGAATCCCTTTTGCTCCCCTGCTTCGTTCCTACGCAACGAAAATATCCAGAATATTTAATTTAATTTTAACGACTGAACATTCGCGGAAGAATACGTTGAAATTTCCAAAGAAATCTAACGAGGAAATCCGAGGGCTGTGGAATGTCCGTTGACCCTTCTGTTTTTCTCTGGATTCGCCTACCGATAATACAATGTTGTCGTTTTCCTTTCTTTGATTTTATAAAGGAGCAATCGTCAGACGCTCGTACGCAAGCAAGGGTCACAGGGTGGGACCATCGGCGAGAATGCGTGTTTTGTGTGTGCGGTTGGACAACCAAGTAGTGGTCGTTCATAGTCAAGAATTTTTTCTGATAGAGGGCCGACCTTTATTGTTTTAAAGTGGAAGATAGTAGTACTTAAATCTATCACAATGTTTTAAAATGCAAAAGCGAAGTCAAGGTTTTTCATGGACAACTTTGTCTAGGCGAAAGTTTCGAGGCGTGAGACTACTGCCTCACGCGATCTAAAATTGTTAATATATAGTCTAGTTGGAGGGTATGTCATATAGTCTAGTTGAATTGAACTTGTGCGTTTTTTTTTTTTTTTTTTTGAATTTTGATATTTTTTTTAAAGCCTAGTCCAACATCTCAGGCATATTTCAACCACGTATAGGCGAGTTTAAGTCTACTCTAGCTACTTGAACTTGGAGGGGTATGTCATATAGTCTAGTTGAATTGAACTTGCGTGTTTTTTTTTTTTTTTTTTTTTTTTTTTCAAAGGCCCCGTCCAACATTTCAGGCACGCTTCGACCATGTCTAGTCAAGTTTAAGTCTACTCCAGCTACTTGAACTTGAAGGGGTATGTCATATAGTCTAGTTGAATTGAACTTGCATGGTTTTTTTTTTAAAGGCCCAGTCCAACATCTCAGGCATGCTTCGACCACGTCTAAGTGAGTTTAAGTCTACTCCAGCTGAGCAAAGGCATTTTTATCACCGCCCCACTTCCAAAGCCGCCTAGGTGCACCTCAAGGCTCGTTTTTTAAAACATTAATCCATGTTCAATCAAATATTTCAGACAGCCAAAAGAGGAGTTTCTACTTGAAAATTTTAGATACAAATTGATCAATGAATATCTAAATAATCAAGACATGTGAGAAGAGTGCCAAATTTTCAATCGAACTTTGTAAGATGCCATCCCATTGCGCTGCGGACGACCGAACTTTGGGGAACACTTGGAAAATCCCGTTGCTGGTTCTCTCGTCCACTAGCAATCAGCAATTGTAGGAATAAAGGGGCAAATTATTGTCGAATGAGAAGCTTCTCTTCGAACCGCAAGGGTGCGCCTTGGCAACGTTAATGCTCGCTTTTCCGGAAAACTGGTGAATTATTTTGATGCCCAAAGTCCCAATTTACCACGACTTACATTGCTTTCCGAGAGGAGCGGTCCACTGAACCAATGTCGATATCCTTTGTGTATATGTTTGTGAGAGCAAAGAGCAAAAGCACAAAGACAACTTGAGCACTCATGATTCCGAAATGGCTGATACTGTTACCAATTTCCATCCAACTTCCTGTATTCCGGACCTGATAGTAATCAAAACGGTCAGTAAGGTTTGCTAGAAATTATTGATCGGATGCTGTAAAATAAGAAGCATGCATCCATGCACGTGTGGTGTGTAGTGTGGTATGCGGTGTGGATCAGATATCTGTGTTTAAATGTTACTTTGTTGGGTAATCTCATACTGTTACAGGAGACGGAAGCCGCGAGAAAAAGTTACAAATTCAAAATCTGAAGAATATAGTAACTTACCAGGAAGAAAAAATGCATGGTCATTACATCCGAAAATAGTATAACGAGAAAATAGCATGCCAAACGTGGAAGTCGGTTTAGCTTTGTTATTGCACTGAATACGCATCTGCACGTCAGTCGAACACAAATTATATGAGAAGTTGAGAATCACAATTGCTTACAACTTCTTATGGCTTAAAAGAAAAAGAATTTCCTATACATGCTAGTAAAACGCATTTTCCAATGGCATAATTAACAGCGTCAATAAAGAAGGATGTTTCGACAGCTTGTAGCCACGCATCACACGCAAAATTGTAACTGGACTTACATGACTAGCAGGAACGGAATGAATAACTTGAAGATAAGTAAGGCGGCCATGAGAAACGGCTGAAATTAGAAGCAAATGGTATCAGGTGAGTATTGACAACTAATCTGATAAATGCTCAGGAAAGTTCAACCTTCACTTACACTGAAGACAGTAATGAACCGATACACTGATGAAATCTCAAAACTTGCTATACTTGCAAAGTTTCCCGTTCCAAAGAAAGCAACATTGAATAAAACCATCTAAAACCACAAAAGACATCGGAGACATACAATATGAATGATGAGCAGTTACATTATTAAAAAACAAAAGGGGCAATGTATATCGTTAAATTTCTCGAACAATCAGATAAATCTTTCAGTATTGTAACAAAAAGAAAAAGGATAGGACTTACAAAGATCAACGGAATTCTCACATCAGACAGCTGTAAGTATCTACCATCAAGTATGACATTTTCCTCCATACCACTAAAGGAACTTGACAACCTTCTCACCTTACTTGAGTAAATAAGTGTGTTTTCAACTAGTATCCAAGAGATGAGTACAAGAGCCAGAGCACCGTAGAAAACAGCTTCATATCTGCATAGGTCTAGAGAATGAGCAAAAAGATAAAAAAAAATTCAACCTAACATTCCGCCTATTAAAAAAATCTGTTAAATGAAGGCAACTATAAGCTAGCATATAAACGGAATGTACCCGATAGATAATAGAAGAAAGGTGGGCGCAAAACCGAGAAATATGGAAGTAAGACGGGACAAGAGGCCATTTGCTGAAAATAATGGAAGTACCATCGAGAAACCTATGACCAGACAAATTAAAGATCAATATTAACGGACATGATATTTGCAGTTACCTGTCAACTGACATACCAATTACAAAGAGAAAAGAACTAACAAGTCGGATATGTAAAAAGGCCCTAAAAGGGAAGAGTGAAAACCCATACCAGCGATGGACCAATTTATGATCTGGTGCAAAGCAAGTAGTTCTTGGTTCTCAGTTCTGTGAGAGGTTGATATTGACACCATCACGGATGACAATCCAACCAAAAGAGCCTAATTCACAAAGTTCCAAAACATTCCATAAATATCAAATGTATCTCCAGATCTGTTAAGTTACATGATACGTTAAGCTTTATTTCCATACCAACCGAGGACAGAGATAGGTTAAGCACCTGTAACTGGAAGAGCATGGGAAATTTAGGTTTCTTCTTGTCATGATTACAGATACTTAGCCAATACTTTCCTTCGGTACGCAGATCTAGCAATCTAGCAGCTACTCCGATCATAATAATCATAACTCCACTCCAAATCCTGCAAACATGATTTGTCACAAAAGGTTCATAATTAGCTTAATCTTTGTTGATTAATCATAGCTGCATTCAATTTATTTCTTAATTTTACACAAACCTAACAAACACAACTATCACAGCTGATTTAAGTTCTTGCAAATAGTAAAATTGGCACGTGCTGGGTTCTGCTTTGAACACATATCAGGTTTACCCTCCCTTCTGGTAATTTGTATTTCATTTAAAAAGTTAAAAAGGTGAGAAAGAAATAAGGAAATCTCAACTAAACCCAGCTTGCCCATAAAAAATGTGAGCACAATAAAGGTATTGTTTGAATTAGAGATTGGGTTCAATTCTGAAGTTCGTTACATTTATAATGGAAGTAACCCCCGCCCCAACACAAGTACGCACCACAGAGAAACATTCAAGAATTAAAGATGACATACACTAGACGATTATTATCGGGAATTTCTGCTGGCATCAATGTAAATACAGACAAGAACCAACATGCAGCACAGGCAAAGATTGGTATGCCAGATCTCCAGGGAATCGATTTTAAGAGATAGAGAAACAAGACGACTCCGGACACTAGGAAACACCAAGTGTATAGCTTCCTCTCAGTAAAGCTATTAACCTGCAGAAATTACCAACATACGCTGTTCAGGATTGTAGAGTACAATTTCCCATGGCTTGCAGTGTGAAAAATTATAATTCTGATTCAGTACCAGGAATTCAAGAATGAATACTGAGAAAGCACCAGTGGCTAGAATTTTCACAAAGTAATTGATTCTTCTTCCATATAACTCTTTCCATAATGCTTTGATGAACCGATATTCACTAAATATTTGTGTCCACAGGAATACTGTCATTGACGTGTATGCGTGGTAAAGAGGAGGAGAACGCTCCATAAACAGTACTATACTGAGTAGTCCCAGGAAAAGGCATCCACAAAGTTGTACCTGCAGCAAACAATGAGATTTGTGGGTTACATTACATAGTGAATATTAACACTTCTAGATGTTCAACTTTCACAACTAATATATTCACGAACATCTTTTAGTTTCTTTCTTTTGAAGAAAAACATCTCTGTTTTCAGAATTCCGTCCTTCAATTTAGAAATCACTATTAAAGCTTTACAAGAGGTCAAGACTACACAAACATTACCTTTCTGGTATTATCTGTCTGGTGATCTGTTTGCTCCTTTCTAAACATATACCCTGCCAATGGAGTATAAGATTGCAGCACATGGAGAAGAATATAGGTCATCCAACCAATATACCCAAGAACAATTACTGTCATGAGCATCAGCCAATCGTAAGTTTGGAAATAGTGAAGTCCCTTCAGAGCCAAATCCCTGAGATCTTCAGAAAGCTTCCTTGCAGTTTCATAGTCTCCATTAGATATTAGATCCTCAATCTGATCCAATAGGGAGGAATAATCGGCCAGTGGTTTGAAAGGCTTAAAATATAATGAATTTGCCTCCTTTGTTTCTAACTTTGTCAAGAAATCCAAGATAATAAAAAGGGCGTCTCTACCTCCTTTCGTTCCTCAAAACTCCAGTAGAATCAGATATAACAACAGTTTTCAGTTTTAACCTTAATATGCTATTTCATTAAACGAATTGGATATTTTATGATTGAAGAAAGTGATGCCTTGTTGTCATATATAGCACATAAATATATATATATATATGTACATATATAAATATATATTCAGAAACAAAAGGATACGTGACTTCCGAAGGAACTGGTTGAGAATTTGCTTTGTGTTGGCAACCACAGCTTCAACTTCATCTTCCTGGAAAATGAAACAAAAAGAGAAAGCTCAGTTGTGTACCAATTAACCATAAAACTCATCCAATACAATAGGTGTATGCAGGCAAAGATAAAAGTGATAACATTACACATCCCTTACAACAAAAAGAAAAAATCCTCCATCAAACTGGTTGACTATACCTTTGACATGTCTATGTAATCAAGAGGTAAACTTCCAACTGAGTTTACAGGACCAGGCAAACCGAGAAGAGTTGACTGCCAGAAAACTCAATCAGCAAATAAGAGTGATACAACTTGAAAGGTAGTTTAAAGGGGGAAAAGTTGGGAAAACAAATTGTACAACCATGAGAGGGGCAATATCAGCTTGATTAACATCCACCCTTTCAATGCCATGAAGGCCCCATTCTTTGGGTGTTGGCGCATCATGCATATGATCATCAACAAAACGAAAACTGCAATCAGAATGGTTGGAGACTGGCTTCGGATGTTTAACACCTGCTCCCCAAACAACTAGGGGAGTATCAGTGTTTGAAGGATGTCCATCTCCATGGCTGCCTATCAGTAAAATTATAACAAGAAAGAACCGTTATAAGGGGATAAAATGAGGTATAAGTTCAAAACTTATAACAATTCGGTGAGAAAAGAGAAGCAAAAAGTTTCTATAAAGGTGAAGACGAATTAAATCCAACCTTTATCATGCATTCCATGATCAGCAGTAAACACGTATGCAGTACGATTGTCCTTGTAATAATCTTCTAGAAGATTATAAACCCTTTCAGCTATACTATCAACAACCACAACATTATTGAGATATATGGACGAAAAAGGCCTATGCGCATGACCATTTGAGTCACAGCCGAGTAAGTGCAAAAACACAACAAGATTATCCTGTAAGAGTAACTCCTTCAACTTTTGGTCTTCTTTGGACCGATTCAAAAGGCTCTGAAATTGATCGAAAGACCACTCATCCAAAAAGGAAGCATCTGCATGCCATTGACACATACAAATTGATAAAAGAAAGAATCATAAGCTATTAACAAATATTTAAACTTCACTAATCAATGTGCTGAAAGACTGAAATCAACCAGTAAAATAAAACAGAGATAACATGCTGTAATTGAAAAATGTGATAAAAGTTTGAAGTCAAACCAGTAGCAAAGTCTTCAAATTCATGAGGGTAACTATTCCAGGTGGTGTGAGGCAATGCAGCACAGAAAATGGGGACTATATCAGGACTACCATAAGAGAAAGTATGCCGGCTTCGATTAAAAACCGAATCGAATTCAACAGGGTTAGCTTTCCACCCTGAAAAAACGATTTTGGTTTCTTCAGAAAACCAATTTGCATCTGTGTAAATGCTCACAAAAAAATAAATAAATAAAAAAGATTCAACCTTTCGTAACAGCACTGGGATCCTCATAGAACCCAGCAATGATAGCAACATGTCCAGGCCTCGACTCCGTCGGCGGACGAGCGTGCGACACTCCCCACCGACCTTTCTCTATCATCACGCTTCTCAGAAACGGCGCTCTGAAGTTTCCGTCGGAATCCGACTCGAAGAATTTGTCGGCTCTCAGCCCATCAGCTGCAGCAGAAGCTCCAAACTTTTCAAAGCACATTCGAATGATAAACAGAGGGAATTTTAGCGGGAAAATTGGACGTACCGACGAGCAAAACGAGGCGTTTTGCGGGGGCGGAGAAGCGGGGGGTGACGGGATCCATGCCGTGGACAATGGGGGACTTGAAGTAGATGTCGAAGATGCTGAGCATGTAGACGGCGTGGAGAACTACGCCGAGCACTACCAACCATTTCTCTTTCCTCTTCAACCATGTCCGTCGTCTTCTCCGCGTGCTTGCTCTGGCGTTGCTTCCTTCCGCCGCATTCCTTTCTTCCGCCATTTTTACACCGCCGCTTTTCCTCCCGATCGTCACAGTCGTCGTTCAACTCTTTCGCTCCTTTTTTTTTAGTTCTTTCTCCTAGTCTCACTCTTTTTACAAGAATTGTGGGCCTATTGGGCCTTGGGAGATAGTATTGTTGAATGAGCCGAGGCCCATAATCTGAATGTGTACTATTATGATTTTGTTTAGAGATATTTGCCAATTTCTCTCCAATTTGTAAGGCGCATTCAATTTTTCTTTAAATTTAATTTTAATCCATTATCCTTCTAAATTTTTATAGTTGGCCAACTTCCTCTCGAACTTTAATTCTAGCCGATTATTCTTCTGAACTTTTGTAATTGGCAAATTTCCCCCTTAACTTTCATTTTAGTTGATTCCTCCCATGAAATTTTATAATTGGTCAATTTTTCAATAATGAATTTGTTGAGATAAGTAATTACTTTTCTTATTCAAATTTGGATCTTGAATTAAAATAGGTGAACCGAGACGGTCATGTGAGTCAAGTCACAAGGCAGGCTAATGAAATGGCGTCACGACCCCAACATGTTGCTGAAAAAGCAAGACCATGGAGAAGATTTATAGTTGTCCATATTAGGGTAAAATTCAAAGAAAAAGTATATGTAGTGAACTAAAAGAAGAGAAGAAGAAGAAGCAGAAGAAAAAACATATGTTGACCACATACTAATAAAATTACACTTTTACCTCAGACAATTGTCATTCGCATGCACATGACCAAGATGAATAAAAGTTCAAAATCTAGCATCATAGGGGAAATTGGCCAATTATAAAAGTTCAAGGGAGTATTTAACTAAAATTAAAGTTTAGAAGAAAAATTGACCAATTATAAAAGCTCTTAAAGGTAATTAGCTAAAATTAAAATTTAAAGGGAATGGCAGCTCCTTACAAGTTGGCTTTTCAATTCACTTATTCAAAAATAGGAAAGTTTGGGGAGGAATATCATCCGAGCTACTTGCAGACTTTTTCTTTAACTTGTTTTGGTTCCCTATATTGAAGGAGAGAAAGTGCCTCCTTATTCTCCTCTGCCGTTGTCTTTTGAAGCACAGTCGATCTACTACAAAATTATTGTACGATAATGGATGGTCTCACCGGTTCATAATACGAGTGGACGACGAGTTTATACTTTAAAGTCTACTATCAATAACCAATTCACAGAATGGAATTGATTATGCCACACAACGTGTTCCAATACTCCACAATACTAACTCAATATATGGAATTCACTTGATAGATAATTATACGGAAAAATTACAACAAAAAACGGGAAAATCGTATATGAAATGCGTAAGCAAAGCTGCTACACACATTATTAATACAGAAAACCGTATATGACATGTTTGGCGTGCACATCAGAAGATTCAGCAGCAACACAAACATGGGAACGTAGCCTAAGCCAAAAGGCTTAAAAGAGATAAATGATGAACCCTAGAAAACCAATCAGCATCCACACTGGAAACGCTGTAGTTAGAGAACTTGGTGCTGCAGATGGGGGAGAGGCTGGAGAGCTAACTTCTGCAGAAACAGCCAGCACCATGCTAGCAACTGTAACCCAAATGAAGAAAATAGCTGCAAGCTTTTGGTTCTGGAAAGTCATTTTTTGTATAAATTGTTGATGCACGAAAGCTGGACCGACGAACAGTGGAAAGCTGAATTGGTTGGCAATTTGTTGGGTTGGTTCCCACCTATTTATACATGCAATTTCATATATTTTTCTCTGTGTACTTGTGTGTATGTAGATTCTGGAAAATTTCAGTGAAGCTGATTTCGATGATACAATTCTTGTTTTTGTTCTTGTTTTTGGGGATAAAACAAACACTATAGGGTTCAGATATTTGCTTGAGCATATTGCATGATGAGTTGTACCAATGTGTTTTGCTGGACTGCAAGGGTGACAATTCCAAAGAGGTTTTATTATAAAACTAAGAACCGATATAAATATCAAAGAGGTTATTCAAGACAACATTCAAGAGGTTATCAATAAAATAAATAAATTTTGACAAGCAAGGATTTATTAAGTACAAACTGAACAAATACATAAGGGTGTCACATGGGTACACCTTTTTCAGTGATCAATTTCTCAATGTGGAGATTAATTTACACAACTAATAAATAAGTTAAACCCCTACATGGCTACCAAACTAAGTGGAGCGGTAAAAATTTGCCACAAAGCGATAGAGGCGACAAATCTAACACCAAAATCACACAACAAAAAAGAGGTCCTCAATCCAAAGAAACCTTAACATAAAATAAAAGTCCAACATGGCCAAACTAATTGTCATTGTACATGTGGATTTGAGAGTGAGACATGCCCGAGAATAAGCAAAGGAACGCGTCCAAGTCTTGAAGTCATCCACACTCAAACTCAAAAGATTGAAATGGCACTCCAAAGCCAAAAATAAACTCCATTCTTGATTAAAACTTCTACGCATAAACCCATAAAGACACTATTTGAAAACGAGCAACACCGACTCCAAAAATGTACTAACAATGAACCATATATTTAATCACAAGGATTTATTATTTCATGTAAAGATAGTAATACGACTTCTTTAATTATCATTTTAATTGACTTTGATCAATTAAATTTATGCCAATGACAGTGGAAATTTGAACATAATTTTACATTTTACCATTGAAGTTTCAAACAAACAAAAACTACTATATATTCTTGCACCGGTGCTGGTATCACGTGCGATGCCATGAAACCCTAGTCAAATGACGTTAGCTACAAGTTTCGAAATAGAATATTAAAACAAAATATTTGGACCTAGTTTGAACATAGGGCAAGGGCCATCCAACCAATAACATAGGTCCAACTGCCCATCGCTTAATTGGGGGCCCACAAATTATTACTATGGCCTTTTTTTTAATTTTTTTTTTTTATTTTGAATTGAACTGGCCAAATTTTGGGTAAGGAGAGTTTGTCTCCATGAATTCATGATATACCAAAAAATTTTATTATTTATTTTTATACAACCATATTTTTTATTAATTTTATGATAGCCTAAACATTACAATTATTGAGTCACAATTTAGCATTAAACTCATCAAGAAATGTCAAAAAAAATTTAAAAATTTAATCACAAGCGAAAACAAATATCACTAGCTGTAAATAGGCAAACCGAAAAAAATAGTGTAACGATATAGGACTAAGAAGAGATTGATTTCTTCCCATGTAACCAAAACACAAAGATATCAGATAATTAAGTAAATTACAAAAAATCACCTCAATTATAAGTCGCATAACAATTGTATACCTCATATTTTAAACATTGCAATGTTACACCTCATCTTTTGAATTTATTGCAATGTCAAACATCCGTCAACTTTTCTGTTAAATGCTGATGTAGTGAGGGTAGGGCCCACTCCTTCACTAATTGAAATAAAAAATTAAAAATAAATTATTTGTTATTTATTTAACAATAAAAAAAAAATTTCTTGGGCCCCATCCTTACCTGGCAAACGAGTCGTGTCTATCGTGTTCGTGTCGTTTTCGTGTAACACCTGTTATCTTAACGGGTCGTGTCGTGTCGTGTCACACCCGTTATCTTAACGGATCCTTAACAGGTCGGGTCACTTTACCCAACGGGTAAAGTGACCCGACCCGTAATGACCCGCTATGACCCGTTAAGAAAGAAAAAAAAACAAAATTCTTAAATTTACACATACCACACATTGCCACATAAATATTACTTCAAAACATTAAAACACATTTGTCGTTTAAGTACTACATCTATACTTGAAAATAAGAGCCTAATAAACAAACATCCATACACTACTAATCTATTAAAAAATATTAAATGTGCAAGGATATGCAAAATGAAAGAGTTTTTGTTTTCAAGGTTGTGAAGCATTTCTTAAAAGTTTAAACCTTGCCAATGGAACTCAAAGCTTGCATGTTATTCATTTTACAAAATCCTCAATTTTCATCGATCATCATGACATAAGATTTTGTGGTATCCACTAGTGTAAATATTTTAAATTGAAGATCGAATTCATCTCTGAATGTTTGTTTTTTGCGATTTTTGGCGTATGCAATCTTGAAGCATATACAAACAAGTTTGACGGTTGGATGATTGAAATTATTTTCGTAGAATGCCTATCCCATCAAAATGATACATTCACTAACACTGGAGTTTATTTATACTTTCATTAAGTATAACATAAGATTTTGTAGTATCTACTAGGGTAAATATTTTAAATTGAAGATCGAATTTATTCATTGTATTCATATAGGGTAAGGGACTGTAGCTGTAAAAAATCATCAAAATCGGAGTTAAAATAACCGTTAAATCGAGATTTTTCGTTGATAACCGTCAAAAAGTTTTGTCCCATTACTTGATCTCTAAATGTTTGTTTTTTGAAATTTTTGGCGTATGCGATCTCGAAGTATATACAAACATGTTTGACGGTTGGATCGTTGAAACTAGTTTCATAGAATGCGTATCCCATCAAAACAATAGATTCACTAATACTTAAGAGTTTATTCATACTTTCATTAAGTATAATATAAGATTTTTGTGGTATCCACTTGTGTAAATATTTTAAATTGAAGATCAAATTCATTCATTGTATTCATATAGGGTCAATGAGTGTAGCTGTAAAAAATCATCAAAATCGGAGTTAAAATAACCGTTAAATCGTGATTTTTCATTGATAATCGTCGAAATGTTTTGTCCCTTTACATGATCTCTGAATGTTTCTTTTTTGCGATTTCTAGCGTAAACAATCTTGAAGCATATACAAACAAGTTTGACGGTTGGATCATTGAAATTAATTTCATAGAATGCGTATCCCATCAAAATGATAGATTCACTAACACTTAAGAGTTTATTCATACTTTCATTAAGTATAACATAAGATTTTGTAGTATCCACTAGTGTAAATATTTTAAATTGAAGATCGAGTTCATTCATTGTATTCACATAGGGTCAAGGAGTGTGTAAAAAATCATCAAAATCGGAGTTAAAATAACCGTTAAATCGTGATTTTTCAATGATAACCGTCGAAAACTTTTGTCCAGTTACTTGATCTCTGAATGTTTGTTTTTTGCAATTTTTGGTGTATATGATCTCAAAGTATATACAAACATGTTTGGCGGTTGGATCGTTAAAATTAGTTTGGTAGAATGCGTATCCCATCAAAATGATAAATTCACTAACACTTAAAAGTTTATTCATACTTTCATTAAGTATAACATAAGATTTTGTGGTATCCACTAGTGTAAATATTTTAAATTGAAGATCGAGTTCATTCATGATATTCATATAGGGTCAATGAGTGTAGCTGTAAAAAATCATCAAAATCGGAGTAAAAATAACCGTTAAATCGTGATTTTTCATTGATAACCGTTGAAAAGTTTTGTCCCGTTACTAGATCTTTGAATGTTTGTTTTTTGAAATTTTAGACGTATGCGATCTCGAAGCATATACAAACATGTTTTACGGTTGGATCGTTGAAACTAGTTTTGTAGAATGCGTATCCTATCAAAACAATAGATTCACTAACACTTGAAGTTTATTTATACTTTCATTAAATATAACATAAGATTTTGTGATATCCACTTGTGTAAATATTTTAAATTGAAGATCGAATTCATTCATTGTATTCATATAAGGTCAAGGAGTGTAGTTGTAAAAAATCATCAAAATCAGAGTTAAAATAACCGTTAAATCATGATTTTTCGTTGATAACCGTCGAAAAGTTTTGTTTTGTTACTTGATCTCTGAATGTTTGTTTTTTGAAAATTTTGACGTATGCGATCTCGAAGCATATAAAAACATGTTTGAAGGTTGGATTGTTGAAACTAGTTTCATAGAATACATATCCTATCAAAACAATAGATTCACTAACACTTAGAGTTTATTTATAGTTTCATTAAGTATAACATAAGATTTTGTGGTATCCACTAGTGTAAATATTTTAAATTGAAGATCGAGTTCATTCATGATATTCATATAGGGTCAAGGAGTATAGCTGTAAAAAATCATCAAAATCGGAGTTAAAATAACCGTTAAATCGTGATTTTTCGTTTATAACCGGGGAAAAGTTTTGTCATGTTACTTGATCTCTGAATGTTTGTTTTTTGCAATTTTTTGCTGATGAGATCTCGAAGCATAAACAAACAAGTTTAACGGTTAGGATCGTTGAAATTAGCTTCGGAGAATTTGTATCCCATCAAAATGATAGATTGACTAACACTTAGAGTTTATTTATACTTTCATTATGTATAATATAAGATTTTATGGTATCCACTTGTGTAAATATTTTAAATTGAAGATCAAATTCATTCATTGTATTCATATAAGGTCAAGGAGTATAGTTGTAAAAAATCATCAAAATCAGAGTTAAAATAACCGTTAAATCGTGATTTTTCGTTTATAACCGTCGAAAAGCATTGTCCCGTTACTTGATCTCTGAATGTTTGTTTTTTGTGATTTTTTGTTGATGTGATCTCGAAGCGTATACAAACAAGTTTGACTGTTGGGATCGTTGAAATTAGTTTCGGATAATTCGTATCCCATCTAAACGATAGATTGACTAACACTTAAAGTTTATTTATATTTTCATTAAGTATAACATAAGATTTTGTGGTATTCACTTGTGTAAATATTTTAAATTGAAGATCAAATTCATTCATTGTATTCATAAAGGGTCAAGGAGTGTAGCTGTAAAAAATCATCAAAATCGGAGTTAAAATAACCGTTAAATCGTGATTTTTCGTTTATAACCGTCGAAAAGCTTTGTGCCGTTACTTTATCTGTGAATGTTTTTTTTTTTGTGATTTTTTGCTGATGTGATCTCAAAGCATATACAAACAAGTTTGATGGTTGGGATCATTGAAATTAGTTTCAGAGAATTCGTATCCCATAAAAACAATAGATTGACTAACATTAGAGTTTTGTTATACTTTCATCAAGTATAACATAAGATTTTGTGGTATCCACTTGTGTAAATATTTTAAATTGAAGATCAAATTCATTCATTGTATTCATATAGGGTCAATGAGTGCAGCTGTAAAAAATCATCAAAATCGAAGTTAAAATAACCGTTAAATCGTGATTTTTTGTTTATAACCGTCGAAAAACTTTGTCCCGTTCCTTGATCTCTGAATGTTTGTTTTTTGCGATTTTTTGCTGATGTGATCTCGAAGCATATACAAACAAGTTTGATGGTTGGAATCGTTGAAATTAGTTTCAAAGAATTCGTATCCCATCAAGTTCAATGGTGTGTGTGTGTATATATATATATATTTATTAAGTAGATTTAAATCTATTTATTTTGTACGTATAATTGATTGGTACACGGAGTAGTACATTATGTGAGGCATTATAAAAATAGTGAGATATGTCATATTTGTGATAAAAAGTTAATAACTTAAAAATAAAAAAAAATTTCTCACCACTTCTATTAATTTTCATTTTCCCTCTCTTTTTTGTTTCCTTTTCAACTTCTCTTATAATTTTCACTTTTCCCTCCGGCAACCTACGGTGCCTACCTATCTTTCCATAATTCCCTCTCTTTTTTGTTTCCTTTTCAACTTTTCTTAACATTTTCCCTCCCTTTTTCTTCAAAAAGTGCGGCACTGCAGGGAATGGAATGAAATTATCAATTATGGAATCAAATCAATGGATGCATATTAATTAATAATTATTATAGTTTTTTATAAAATCTAATTCAAAATTTAATATATATATATATAATTATTATAGATAGTTAATATTTTGTGGGTATAATTATTATAGTTAAATTAATATATATATAATTAATACAAAATTTTTTTTTAAGGTTATAAAATTATAAAAATAATATTCTGCTTATCGTGTATCGTGTTACCCATGTGTATACCCGAATCAACCCGTTATCTTAACAGGTGCTTATCGGGTTACCCAATAACGACTCGATTCGTTATCGGGTTGACCCGAACACCTGTTAATTTCGTGTCGTATCGTGTCAGGAATTACCAGGCCTTTTCTCCCTCAACTAGAACACAAAACCCTAATTCTTATGCAACCTCCTCCCCCTTCCCGGCTGACACCCACAACCGCTCTTTAGTAACCCTAATTTTCCCATCAACCCCAATTTCTCTAATTACCCACATCGACACTCCCCACTCCCTACTATTTTTCCCCAAACTTCCATGGACTCGGAAAGGCTTACACTTTCCCGAGGGTACCCAGTTTTTTCCCCGCACGCCTCCGCCGGTACTGAGTTAGCTATGAAGCCCCAACCTCCAACTCCGATAGTCGACCGATTCAGGGCTTTGCTCAAGCAGCAGCAGGAGCACCTGAAGGTTTCGCCCGACAACGAGGTGCCCCCGTCTTGAGCGATCGAACCAATGGCTTGATCGATCCCGACGAAGTAATGATCTCTTTGTTCTCGTCCCATAGCGAGAAGTTGAGAATTGCGGTGACGCCGTACTCCTAGAGTTGGAGATCGGACGACGATAGAAGCTAAATCAACGACTTAATCGCGCCGTTTCAGGCGATTTTGAGCCCATTTTCTGACTTGTTCATGGCCAAGTGCCTGATCTCCATTGCCGGCTACTTCTGCTCCTCAATCGAACCGGTCTCAAGGACAGCCATGAACGGTTGAATCAGATTGTCGAAGTTGTCGGAATCGCAGGCAAATAAAAGTGGTTTTCCTCGTAACCCGAGAGGTCGTGGGTGACTGGCGGCGATGGGGGAGTGGGCTCTAATTTTGGTCGTGAAGGAAGGTTGGGGACAGGGGAAGAAGGGTTATGGGTTTGCATGGGTGGGTTCCATTTTTCATAAAAAATATTTAAATGATTTCATTTTAAAATTTAATTAATTTTTTAATCCACTTGGGTTAGGAGTGAGTCCATCTCAAGCTATGTCAGCATTTAACATAGAAATTGAAAGAAATGAGGTTTGATATTGCAACAAATTCATAAGATAAGGTATAACATTGTAATTTTTAAACATGTGATATGAGATTGTGGTTCGACTCATAATTGACGTAGTTATGTGTAATTTACCCCATTAAATGGGCTAGGCATCTAACAAGCCGACATGTTTTTCATTAAAGTAAGCAAGCACTCCAAATATTGTTACCAAAACTTCAAAATTACAATATATATGCAAGTTGCCTATAAAGGAGTTGAGCATTTGCATGATGGTATGGGTTCAAACTTTGTGTGTGGCTAATTTAACACCTAATCTAACAAAATCTATCGTTTGACAAAAGAAAAAGGTACAATATATATAGTATCATCTGTTAGTGCGAATCCAAGATTTGAATCTTGATTGGTATCCGTTTTAAAAGTTCTTAAGTTTTTTAATAGAAACAGAGCGTGAAACATTCGTGCTCGCGCTCAAAAGAAATTTCAGTTTACTCATTGAGGCATTTGTTGAACACTTGATGAGTGAGATCAAGAGATTTTTTCGAGTATAGTTTATTTACTAAGACATTTGTCTGACACTTATGAGCAATATCAAGAGAATTTGTTGAGTGTTGTCCTTGCAACCTGACAAGATATGCCTAACACCAAATATTTTAGAAGTGCAAAGAAAACAGTACAAAACAATCAAAGAATTATCGAAAAACTTTCACATGTATATTTTCTCCGAATAATCTTGAGACCCGTAAGTCCTAGTGTGCATCCGCCTTATGACAGTTGAAATTGAATACATACTATAGTAGTACTAATTAATAATTATCCCATTCAATACACATGCTGTAAGCAGTACACTCTAGAAAGGCCGAAGGAAGAATAACGATGTATTTTTCCTCCCTCTCTTTCTTGTTTATTACATACAATGCTTAAATATTACCTTATTAAACACCTTGCGAAACGACTGTTAATTAACTATAAAAAAGATGATTGACTTAATAAACGAGGGGTTTACTTCAATTCAAGGGCATTTGGTTCTGATGCCATGGATGACAATATCGGTGTAGCACTGGCCGCATTTTTCCTCGTTGCCGAATGTTCCTGGAGGAACGCAGCGGCAGCGATCGCAGCACGCCGTGCAAGCTCTCATGCACGGCCTCTTCCTTGAATGCTGCATGCACCTCTTCTCACACAATGGGACGCAATCTGACCACCAAAGTGTAATAAAACAAGTTCAATCACAAACTAACCAAGTACATTTAGGGTTTTTAATTCCGATAGCTAGCACACGAGTTACGTTTTAGTCCGTGAACTTGTTCACATGCAACGTTCTTAAGTTATAAGTGAACTTAAATAGAGTCGACAAACTAAAATATAACTCCTGGACGAGTTCGCGGGACTATAGAACCAGTTAGGCAAAACATTTTGTAATTAGTACAAAATTAAGGGTTTATATTAGTAAAGAAAACAAATTTTAGTTCCCTGTATGGTAGTGAGAAAACTATTTACCTGATTTGAACCTGACCGGGGGAAGTGGTGGATAAGTGGGTGGCATCACTGGGGGACTGACAGGAGTTGGTGGCTTCACTGGGGGGCTGACAGGAGATGGAGGCTTGGTATATGGTGGAGACGGTGGCTTGGCTAGTGGTGGACACGGTGGCTTGGCAAGGGTTGGACTGGATGCCTTGACCAGAGGTTGTGGCGCTGGTGCATTGCCATAAGTAAACTGAAAATAAAGAATTTCGCAACATTGAAGGTCAAAATTTCTAGCAATAATTGAACTTTTTGTTTAGGGTATATAATTAAAAGTACCTTAATCGAGAGTTCCTCATGATCATCAAGTGATGAAGCCTACAAAAACAAGGATATCAAATCACTTTAGACACGCCAAAATATATTGGAAATTAAACTGAAAAAAAATCAATAATACTAATTAATGAGGGGCAAAAAAAAAAAAAAGAAATGCTAGGGTTTGGAGGGATGTAGATAATTACCCTAGCAGTGAAAAGGAGAACAGTTGCAAAGAGAAGGAGCATGGTTTTGGAAGCCATTGTTAAACAGCTGGAAAGGTCAAGAGCTGAGAAGAAAGTACTGACTACTGCGATAGTGATGATTTTTGGAGAAGCAGGAAGGTGGTATAAATAGTGTTGAAAGGTTGGGCTGGTCAACTGCAGAGGCAGAAGAGATACTTACCTACACCAATTAAGTCATTTCATCAATATTTCGAATTGATATCGCAATAACATGTTTAATAATTAAACACATGAAATTATATATATATATTATATATATATTTTTTTTGAAGGACATGAAATTATATTATTAGTTTAATGTTCAAGTTGTGTTACCTGATTAAGATAAGTCTCTCTCAAACTAAGAGAGGAGATAAGAACATCACTGAAAAGGTTTGTCTCAAAAATATTATACTGTGTCTTGCATTAGAGCAACTCCACCCGTCCCAATCATCCTTACAATTGCGTGATTCAATCCTCTACCTCAACAAAACTGCTTCAGCCCACCTAAATCAATGGAGCTATTTAGTGGGCACAAACCACCCCCACCCCCAATTGGGCCATTCTCTCCAACATGTCCGCCTGAGTGGATTTGACATCAGTTACGTTTTTTTATTTTTTTATTTTTTTATTTTTTTGCGTCTGACTAGTGGGGGAGCGTGAGTCCACTTAACTTCTGTTCACGTAGGTTGTTGGATTTCTTAGAGATGGTCCACATTAATCTTCTTTTTTTAATTCAAAAAAGAAAAGAAAGGAAAAATTGTGAAAAAAGGTTGAGCCCGAGTGGCACAACCTGGATCGTTGGATTGCAAAAAAATGTAATCTAATAATCTATATTATTCATTTAAATGTTATAAAAGAATACAGAAAAATTGGAAAACATTAAAATGAAGAGAATTTGAAATTAGACATAATATACTTTTTTTTTTATTAATAAAAAAAAATTTAATGCCAATTGTTCAGGTAATTCATTATGGGGTAGAGATGCTCTCAAGCAATTATTGTTCACTAAGGCAATAATTGTCAATTGCCCAATAACTCGGACAATTATCGTCTTAAAGAATGGAGTTGCTCTTAATAGTTCGGGACTCAGCCTCAATTGTGTATACTTCGTGTAAGTAAATCACTTCAATATTGAAGGAGGACATGCTATGTATATGTATTTCAAATTCATTATACATTATTATTTTAAAAATAAAAATAATAAAATACGTGTTTTTTTTTAAATGATAATAAAATATGTGTTTGATTTAGAATACTATAGTATTAACTTGTAATATATATATATATTTATTTATTTATTTAGACAAAGGGGAATGTATGCCAGCTGCTTAATGAATGTGATCATCACAGACTCACAGTTCCCATATACACCGGTTAGGGGTTTGCCGTCCCAAAATCTGACTCGAGAGTCATATATTTCATTATTTTCATCTCCTCGTACCACTGTGTGTGTCATCCCAAGTAAATTAATATCCTCCACACGAGGTCTGCACATGAAAAAAACTTGAAACAAAAGTTATGGGAACTTTTTACAATGCACGATGATATATTTTAAATGTTTAAATCCCTTCGGTTTAATATCATTAAACTTATGATTTAATAGTTAGAAAATAAGAAAAATAATGAAAATGATTTGAAAATTTTGAGTTTTAATGATAAGGAAAAAATAAAGGGTAAAGTGAATAGTATTAGGATTGATTTTTTAGTGTAAAAATGTGATTTTTCGTTAAAATGAACAGTACCGAGAGCTTTTCGTTAAAGTTCCCTAAAAAAATAATGATTTTATCAACATATTTTTATCTTTTTAATTCATTCAATTCGACAATTAAAAATTGAACGAAAAGGTTGATATTGCTACCCCTGAAAAGTTTTGTGATATCTTGTACTACAAAACACCATATATTTTTTAAGCTACGTTTCCTCTAGTAAATTTCAGTAGTTGATCTGATCTAATCGACCTTCCTAGCTTGTTTACTAGATTCATTTGTGTTTAAATAACATAAACAAGCTTAGGTTCTGGGTTTATGCCTTCTCTCCACTTGTCATTTCAAAGCTCCTTTTTAAAGAAAAAATATATATTAGATTTGAACATGTTAGACTATTTCCAAATGAGATATCAAATATGTCAAATAAGATCAAAGTGTTCTTCAATGGATATCTCATATATGATGTGGCATGTGAGTTATTTGACTCATTGCTTTCTAACTATCTTTTTTGACAGCAAACAAAGGAGTCAAATATATTTAATTTAATTTTTTAATAGTGTTACTAGACCCACTCCATTGTCCTATTTTTCCATCCACATGATAATTACACCCATCATAAAAAATTAAAAAAGTAAAATGTAATTTTCCCTCCCACCATTATTTCCAAAATAACCCAAATATATATATTTTTAAATAACTCTAATATATCTTTAAATGATATTATAAATAAATAAATAAAAATAGAAAAAATGAAAGAAAATGCAAGACATAAGACCTGGACATTCATCATGAGACCCCGGATCCCCAAACCACTCTTCTTCCTTTTTTGTCAAAGCCGCAGATCTCACACCCAAGTCTCTTTTTCCTCCATTTAAGTTTCTCACCTTCATCTAGCACACACTCATTCCTTCCTCCAACCTTTCCGTCGTCGATTCTAACTCAAATCTTTCCCAACCTCTTTCCACCAAAGATATCACACCTCACCTACCATTATTTATTTATTATTTTAAATTATTTTTTGTTTTTTCAAAATTTTTGTACTTAATTAAATAGGGGTTTAATAGCCTTCTTTTAAAAGGATAAATATTTTATTAACATTTTCATTAAATGGTGGGTGGGGAAATAAGACATCAGGGTGGGAATATCAGCACTCTTTTTTAATGCATGAGTCCCATTAACAACCAATAGAATAAAAACTAAAACTAGCTAATTTTGATTATTTTTTAATAATTAACGTAACTCTAGGCCCAATAAAATAATAAAATAAATATTTGACACATCCATTGGAAAATAAGAGGATTTAGCACTTGTATTTAATTTGCCACATCAGCCATCAAATAAAATTTTGACATACTTTATTTGACATCTCCTTTAGAGATGCTTAGGTTTAATTTAATAAACAGCTGGTTTTTGAGAAAGACGCAACAAAATTGACTGGTCACCTTAGAATTGATTAAACAAAACTAGAAATCATAGATTACAACTGGTTTCATTTATACCAATTGATGAACACGTGTTTCAAGTTTAGGTGTAACTGAGAAATATATTATTACGCTTATGGTACGTTATTTACAATAAAGATTATATGAAAATGATTCACTATTATACATGTGAGGTCTTGAGCAACGAATGTGGAGACCTGCCATATGAATCTAGTTTAATGACGGAGGTGGAAGCGATACGTGTGGCAGTGTTGATTTGTATTGGTAAGGGCTTTGAGGGGGTTCATATAGGGTCAAACTCCAAATGTCTTGTGAAAATGCTTAAGGGAAAAATTCAACTTGATGTTGTGATTGAAGGCATCTTCTTTAATGTTAAGTGTTTGAAACAACAATCGAGGTTAGTAGCTCCTCGTGTTTGTAACAAGTCAACGTATCTAGTGGCTTCATTTGTTGCACGGGAAGAAGGTTTCGTAATTGAAATGGTTATGAATTAGAATGGTTATTTAATATTTAAGCTTTTGATTTAAACATTTTCATTCGAGTTTAATTAAATTTCTTACTTTTGGAAAGAAAAAAAAGTGTGTATAAGAAGAATGCTTTCTTGCATAAATGTACCAATTTATGGTAATTAGGATTGGAGCCTTCAATTAATATTTTATGCGATCCTCACAAATTTTTATTCAACACAACTAAAAAAAAAGTTGTGCTGTAATGCTATAAATAATACTAAAAAATTGGGTCCAAATACAATTTTGTCTAGGACTCGGACTGTGTTTAGCATTTTGCTCCGGCCTTGAGCCACCGTGTAAGCAAAATTTTTGTCTCGTACAATGTTCGATTTGGATTCCGAGTCTCTATATTTAGAATTTGTACATCTATTTGCATTTTGAATTATCTTTACTATTGTAATTAGAGTAATACTAAGTAGATTAAATTTTTAAACAAAATTTGCAAAACAAATGTTGTATCACCAATATAAATAAAGATGTTAATTTCAATCACTTTAAATTGAGTTTTCTCTTTTTAAGAAAATGAATTTCCAAATAGACATTTACCCTATTGCAGTTAGGTTTTGTTGTGCATCTTCCTCTTCGTGCGTGTTCCTCAGTTTTTTCTGTCGTCTTTCTCCTCCTTCACTGCTGCTTTTTATCCTGTTTGTGATTTCACACTTGATGTCTTTTATGATTTTAAACATCAATTTGACAACAATATATAAACCCAACTTCAATTTTCCATCAATTTGGCAAAAATGAAGATATCTTATTTTTCTCTTCAATTCTAAATTATCTATATTGATCTTTCAAACTTAATTGCCCTTTCTCTCCACAGCAATAACAACACCCAAGTTTTGCCTCTCTAAATGAGGTCGGTTGTATAAATCTTAAAAAGTCATTGTGCTTGATTTTGCACTAAGTCTCTTTCTCTCCACAGCACTCGGGAAAAAATTTGTGAATGACGGATAAATACTAGAAAGACTAAATTCGTAGACTAAATTTTATAAACTAAATGACATGAAAGTTAATAATTAAATTATTATTTAAGAGTTGATAAATATACTCATTTTTTATTAATAACTTGTCTTACATTAATAAATTCGGAATGTTACGAAGACAGTGAATACAGTAAAAGCTTTTGTATCGAAATTAGCTAAGTTTCCGAAATATTATTGCTTGAGCCTTGCCTCGCATTTTTGGCATTCCCAGGTTAACTTTGACAGTTTCATTCGTACTAATATGAAAACAGCCATGCATGCATGGCTCCTTCCACTAAGCCATGCGCAGTATTGTGCACCACTCGCAGTCTCCCACATGAACTGGTCGACCAATTTAAAAAAAAATACTAATGTCGCTAATTAAAATTAAAATATGATCGGGAAAATTCTTATGAT